GCGGTGGGATGCTGGCTGGGAAGAGCAGAGCAATAAAAGTGGCATCTGCAGATTCCCTGCCTTTCCCCTCCTCTGCTCGGCCAGGCCCTGCTGGGCGGGGGGGGGAAACATATGCATGGCAAATACAAGCTTTGCAGCAAAAAAAAATGTTTGACGGGGGGGGCTTGTGGGGAGCACGGTTCAGGGAAGGACCAGCCAGGGCTTACTGCAGCAGCAATTAGGCTTGCCGAGAGCCGAGACTTAGCACATTGGAGGCCTAATCCTGCCTGAGCAGCATCTGCAAACCTTTTATTTGGGCCGTGCCATGCTGGCACTGGATGCCTGCAAGAATTTTTTTTGCCCTGCCTGCGTGCAGATGGCCTGGCTCTTCGCCTTGCGCTGGGTGCAGTGCTGTGAGAGCAAGCACGTCACCGCCACAACTGCTACAAGGGGAAACACCACAGCCCCGGCCTCATGCAGGGTGTAGACAACTCTCCAGGTAGGGCCTGGTGGGTTCCCAGCTCTCGCCTCACGCTGTGAAGGGGGAGTCATGGGGAGGGCTGCTGGCCTGAAGCACTTTTTGTGTGTCAGGAAGTAACTGTGGGGTGCAGTCCGGTATGCTGCGGCTCAGAGGTGCCCTTACTGCTCCACTCACTGGGCGAGAGCCCAGGGCAGGCCAAGTGAAGGTTGGTGCTGGTGGATGACAGCAGCTGCCCAAAGGTCGCGGCCCAAGGCTCCAGGAGCTGGTGGCAGGGTCTGGTGGGGCAATCCTCGGAGCAGGGACAGCCACTCGCCTCTTCGCTGCCTGCGCTAAGCCTGCCAGGGAAGTGCTTGCTGTCCTCCATATGTCACAGTGGTTGTAGTGGCAGTAGGAGTAGGGCAGCACATTCTTCTTGTCATTGCTTCAGATTTGATCCACCCTGAGATCAGTGGTAGCCAAACCCAGCCATGGCTCCTGCCAGTGCTGGTTCAGGCCAGGGCCGGTCACGACAGCGCAACAGAAGAAATCCTGACTTATGGTAATGGCTGCCACTTGCACACATTGCTGCTGCTGCAGCGGGGTTGCCTGTGCAAGACCCAGCAGGGCCTGGCTGGCTGGAGCCTCCCTCTGTCCCTCAGCCACAACAGCTGGGTTGGCTCAGGCGGGAGATCCCTTCGATGCGGCTCGGGCAAGAGGAGTCAGTAACGTCAAAGCCACTGTTTAGCAGCCAGTGCTGCCGCAGCCTCGCTTCAGTTCATCTGGGCTGCCACCCCGGCACATCCACATCTCTTTGCGGCACCTTGTGTACAGCGCTGGCTGGGGACTTAAGCGATCTGCTAAACCCATCATGGAAGAAGGGATGAGGAAAGGGAGAAAAATGAGATTATTTTGGCACATCTCTTGGCCTTTATGGGATTGGAGGCTGACTGTCAGGCATGCTCGTCTAGGTGGTGGGGGTGTCCTGGTGATGGCAGAGCAGGCCAGAACAGACAAGGCTGCAGGGCTGCTTTTGCAGAAGCATCTTCATGGTGCCATGTCTGTACAGCTTAATAATACTCATTTCTAACTGGCATTTTGTCTCGGCCGATCCGATTTTCACGCTGGGAGGTTAGGAAGTGAGTATCAAAGTTTTGTAAGTGCTCCCTCATGTGGAGCTGGGCAATGACACAGCGAGCAGCCTAGGAACAGAGAAGGCTGGTTGGAGTTCTACAGGTAACGAGAAGCCTCACTCCTTCCCCTTAGTCCAACAGACCCCTGTCAACCTGTGGGGCAACACACGGGGGTGTCTGGATGCAGAATTAAAGAATCCTATGGGCATTTGTTTTTCTTCACTCGCTTCTTGGATCACCAAAAGGCACTTGGTACAATGAGCAGCCCCTTCCCCAGAGCAAGCTGGGTTCTGGTAGAGGGCATAGGCACTGATCAGAGACTATGACTTCCTCCAGACTGCTCCTTCCCAAGGTTACTTCAGCACTCACATCAATACAAGCGCATTCTTATGAACCAGGTGCATGTATTCAGCCTGCAAAATCTCACCAGGTTGGCACTGGTGAGGGCAACCTGTTCTGCTCTGGGTGCGTGCCATTTCCCGCTTATTCCATGTTCTGCTAGTGGCCTCTTTCACCCTCTTTCCCACCTTCCGCAGCCTCTGG